TCCCCAAAACACTCAGCAAGTGAAGGGCTGGGAGGATATACTTGGACTGCGTCAGGATTTTGCAGGATAAGTTGGGTGAAAAACAAAGTAGGAAAAACAGTTAAGGGTATTGGCAAAAATAATAGCTTGAAAGACGGGCCATGAGATTCTTGGAAGAAGGGAAGAAAGGGAAGCCAAAAAGGGCCTGTGAACTTTAAGAAAATAGGATGGTTCAGGAATGAGGGTTCTGGATGAGACTGAGTCACAGGAAGAGAGTAAAACAGTTGGAAGGATAGGAGTTTATAGTTAGTGGAATAGTAGAGTTTATGATTAAGGGCCAGGAAAAGTCCAGGTTATACATGTTACGCATGTAGTCATGGAAAGAAATTGCTAAAATGGTGAGCAGGTGAAAATCATCGAATGGATGAGGTTAGAACTACATAGCAGGGAACTGGATAAATCATCTACGCATACATTGATGCTGTCCTAGACAATAATAATGGTGGGATTAAGGTAGTGAGGATTACCGGGAATGGTAAACCCAGCAGTGTGTGTGTGTCTGCATGCGTAGTGACGATGGGAGTCTGGGCATTTGGTAGAAGCACTGAGGAGTAAGGAAACTTCTCCCACTTCCATCCTCTTTTCCTCCAACCCTGGGCTCTATGGGACCTTGGAGAATATGTAGTCTTCCCCTGAGAGACATAAAGGGGAAACTGAGTTAAAATGAAGGCAAGGAGGTGAGAGCTGTTGTGTAGACCAGAGCTTGAGCATGCTGGAGTACTTTGGTGACAATAAAGATGGTTCTAGATGGCATAGTGGAAAGGACCGGCAGAAAGGCAGCATGGGGAGGAAGCAGGCAGCATGGTCAGAGGAAAGTACAAGTGGGGGTGGGGGAGAGGCAGGGGTGCCCGCTAGAAGGGCATGCCCATGACACGGGTGAGAGTGTGCCACCCGTCCTAGGACCCCCAGAGCAGTTAGCTGGAGGGAGTAGGAGGCGTCGCTGGTCTGGACCCCCGGCACGGGTGGCTGGGTGTAAGATCAGGTGCCTCTGGTTCACAGGCTCCCGGCTCCAGTGCCTGGGTGTATAAGCGGGCACCACCAGTCCTCAGGTCCCTGGTGCAGTTGGCTGGGTGGAAGAGGTGCTGCTGCCAGTCTCCGGGCCCCTGGCATCGGCAGCCAGGCGGAGAAGCGGGCGCCACCAGCCCACGGGCCCCAGCTTGGGTGGCTGGGCTTAGGAGGGGGTGCCACTGCTCTGTGGGCCCCCAGTGTGGGTGGGTCAGTGGAAGAGGGGATGCCGCCAGTCCACAGGTGCAAGTGGCTAGGTGGAGAAGCGAGTGCTGCCTGTCTGTGGGTCCCTGGCTCAGGGGGCAGGGCAGCAGTGGGTGCCACCAGACCGTGACCATGTTGGGGGGGATAGATGAGGGGGTGGGGGGGGACCACAGGTCCACAGGCCTCCAGCATGGGGGCCCTGGGGGGGTGCAGTGGGTGAGGTGAGTGCACTTAACTTTCACAGGGCGGGGAGCATTCCTGCCTGGCTCTGGACAGGGTTCAGAGTTGCTTCTGCTTGGCTGGACCAGGTGACAGGAGCTTCGGCTGGGAACGCTGCTTCCTGTGTCTCAATATGGTTGCACTGAGCAGGTTAGGCTGGCAGGGTGCCAGCAATCCATAATTCTCTGCGTCCACTGTTTTTGTACAGTCTATCCATCCACCTGGCACTTGGTCTGATTCTTCAGCCTTGCCTTTGATGCTGAGGTTTCCAAAGTTGACCTCTATATCTAATTCACTTGTTTTCTCAGGTCTTTGTTGCAAGAGGAACGTTATAAGTCTTCTGTCTATGCCACCATCTTGGATTGCCTTTTTTCTTTTTTTAATGATTGCTTCTTCTTCACTTTTTTGGATTTATTTCCTGAGAATACAATATAATTCTTGGTAATCTTTATTTTTTTGTCTCCTAGATCTATTAACACTCTCTTCATCTACAGTTCTGGTCTTTTTCCTCTGTGGTATGTGGCAGCTTCTTGAGTCTCTCTTCCACATCACTGGTATTCTGCAGTCAATTCTACTCTTTACTGCTTCAGTGAAGGGTTTAATTAATTATGTTGCAACTTGTTTCCTGGAAATTCTTACTTATTTTAACTTGTTCCCCTTTTAGCTTGTTGCCCAATTAGGGTCTGTGCCCTGGAGCAGTCCAGTCAATGAAACATACTCCAAGTCAGAAAGAGAGAGAAAGTTTATTTAGGAAATGACACCAACAGGGAGTCTGGCAGCACGCAGGATGTCTTTATGGAGTCTCGAAAGGCAATTTTACATTAGAGCTTATACATGGCTGTTTCAAGGGTTAGAAGTGTCTTTTTCGCATGTAGCCCGCAGATGGCATGGCCCGATGAGTTATTCATTACCAGATAATTACAAGAGACTCTTTATCAGACTAAAGAGATACATGCCAGACATCTCCTTATCAGCCTAAGATTTACAGACTGGACATCTGGGCTCTAATCTTTATGTGGGGGGTCATAAGTCACAGGTGGCCTGACAGAACAAAACAAAGTCATTAACAAAAGTATGCAGAAAGGAGAGGGCAGGTAGAAAAGAAAAAACTTATAGGTTCATCATGGTGTTAGTCATGTCAAGCTCTCAATTGCCCATTTTGAAAAGGAGAAAACAAGTTGTGGAGTATTAGGGTCACAAGCTGACCTAGTTGCCTTCATAACTCAATTATTCTTTCATTTCACCCTTTTCTCTCTTTATGGCTTTATGAATTATGGAGGCCATGCTTTACATCCTATTGAGGATGTTGAGGTACTTTAAAAATCCATTTAGTTCCTGTAGTACATAATTTTCAATTATGGTCTTCCTTTGTATCTTCAGGATAAGTGACTCATTCATTCAACATTTATTTATTGAGCACTCACTATGACACTCACTGTCGTAGTGAGGGCTTGGCATATGTGACAGTTAAGGTCGTGTAGGCCATGATTCTCAGTGGCTTGGCAGTTATGATGTAGTTTGGCAGTTATGTAACAATGTAATCACCTCCATGATGAGATCTGATATAATGTAATCATCTCCACAACGAGATCCGCTATGAGCAGCCGATCAGTTGAAAGGGAGTTTCCCTGGGGGAATGCCTGGTTGATACCATCAGTATTTCCCGAAAGAGCCTAGTATACACAAAACTTGCTAAGAACAAAACACCAACTCTCTGTTCAACTTTCAGAACAATAACCACAAGAAGACAACTGTCAAATACTAACCCCTGCACCAGAACCTTGAGCCTGAAGGTCAGAAAAGGGCTCACTAACATAGTAAAAATCAATCCCCTAGGTGGAGACTTAACAGGATCATGAGACATGTTAACAATATAATAAGATTAGGACTGTACTGTGCTCATTCCCTTAGTATGTTAGAGTATATAAAAACCTGTAGTTGTATGATTTGTTAGGAACTTTCTCCTTCCTCAGAGTATAAAAGATGTGACCTGTGTAACCCAAGACACGCAGAACCTGAAGACTGCATTCCTCTCTGCCTCAGCTTGTGCACAAGCTCGAAATAAATCCTCTCTTTGTTCCCCACCCTGGTGTTGTCTTTATTGATGAAAGTCATACCAGGCCCAAACCCAGAACTTGAGCTGCGTGATTTGGTGTGTTTGAGGAACAGCAAAGGGGACAGTGTGGCTGCAGCACAGTAAAGGGGTAGAATGCAGGCAGAGGTCAGAAAGGTAACCTGAGTATACATCATGAGACCCTGTAGGCCACTGAAAGGATTTTGGCTTCTAGTCTAAGGAAGGTGGGGAGTCATTGGAGAGTTTTGAGCAAAGGAATGAACTGATCTGATAACAATTTGAAAGAATCATTTTCACCATTCTGTTGAGAACAGACTGTGGGGAGAGGCGACCACGTTGGTAGACTAACTGGGCAGGGAGTTAGCAAACAATTGCAGTATTCCAGGTGAGAGATGATGATGATAGCTAAAGACTAGGTGGTTGCAGTGGGGGTAAAAAGAACTGGTCAGATTCTAGATATATTTTAAAGGTAGAACCTGGGGGATTTTCTAGTGAATTGGATAGGCACTGTGAAAGAAATTAGGGAATCAGTGAAAACTCCAAGGTTTTAGGCCTAAGCAATTGGAAGGACTCAGTTGCCATCAACTGGGATGGGAACGAATGCATGTGGAGTAGGTTTGGGAGAAGGGATTAGAATTCTGTTTTGGACGTGTTAAATGTGAAATGAATAATAATGAAGATGTCAAATAGAATACTGGCTATGAGTCTCTGAACTCAAACCATGTGGAAGATATCAACTAGAAGTATGTCAGCATACAGATGGCACTTCAAATTGTAAGATTACCAAGGGAGTGTACCAAGGGCTGTAGGTAGACAGTGGACCAAGAACCGAACCCTAGAGTACTCCAATGTTAAGAGCTGGGGAGAAGAGGGGGAACAACCAGTGAGATAAGAAGAAACCAAGCCCAGAAGAGTGTATTAAGGAGGAGAGAGTAATCAACTGCATCAAATGCTGCTGATGTGGAGCCTAAGATTTGTCCCCTGGATTTAGTAATGCAGAGGCCACTGGTGACCTTGACAAGAGAAGGTTTGGTGGAGTGGAGGCAAAAGCTTGATTGAAATATTTATGAGAGAATGAGCAAAGAAGAACTGGAGCAGCAAGTATGGACATCTTTCAAGGACTACTGCTGTGAAGAGGAGCAAAGATACGGCGTGAAACTGACAGGGGGGTGGGGAAAAGAGAGTTTAAGACAGAAAAAACAACAGTATGCTTGTTTGCTACTGGGAGTGATCTAGGATGTTGTTTTTCCCTTGTTGCTACAGTTACTCATGGGCCCCATGCTCTATCTTTTCAGACATCCTTAGAGATCTAGACTTCTACTCAATAAATAAGGTGAGTGATTGCATTGGGCCTCCCTCAATTACACTTCTGGCTACTAGTCCAAACCCTTTCTTATACCTACAGCTGAAAAGCAGGAGGCTTACTGCTCCAGGGCAGTTTTTAGCATTCAGAAGGCATTTACTAAGTGTGACTCTGCTGGATGTGAGTGGGATCTGACCTTCCTGCCTGGTTCTCACATGCTGAATGGTAAAATTATATTAAATACTATCAATCATTCTCGGGATGCTTCCCATCTCCATTCCACTTTATTTGTGAAGACTACCTGTTTCAGGGTACAGCATGCCCCAGTATCATCCCCCTCCCACACCTTTTCTGGCTATTAAAAAGACAAAGTCTAGTGTGTGGGTGGAGAGTGGTTGGAAAGAATGAGTACTCTGGCTGCCTCTAAAGGCAGCACCCCAGCAGCTGAGGGAGGGGTGCCAAGCTTTCAGACTGAGACATATGAGTCTGAATCCATGAGCCAAGAAATTACCTTCCTCTTTCAAGTGGGCGGCACTGACATAAAACATGAGCATTCTCCACCAATTGTTTTCTCCACATTATGACTCTGATTTTATACTTAGGAATTCCTCCTGTCAACAGATTCTGTCAATAGGTTATGTGTGGGGTATAGTTTTTGGTAAAACAATTTCTTTTTTTCTTCTGTGTACTTTATTGGCAAACAGGGATGATTAAATTAGGGATTACTGGGCAGATTTATTTTCAATAAGCTATGCTTTGAAGTTAAGGCAACAGGTAACACATACTGAATAAGCCAAAGTGCTTAATTTTTGTTTTCTATGAAACAGTTTATTTTACTGTTCGCTATGGAGGGGCTACAAATATATATCTGATATGAAAACAAAGGACTAAACTTTGAAACACTGGTAAAAATGGTTATGAACAGTTGAGAAGCTAGAGAACAGGGCACACGACATTTACATTAGTTCATCTCGCATCATACATCTTCAAACATCAAAGGCACTTATCAAAATGGTTAAATAAAGGAGTGTGGTATGTAGAATAATACATATACTAAGGCAAAAAAACAAAGTGCTTGAATTCTCTTACAGTTTGACTTCTTACATTTTACTGACCAAAATCTCTGCTGATTTATGCTATTTACTTTGTAGCCTTAAAACAGCTAATAGATAACTTGATTTCAACACTCTTCAAATGTAAAGAACCTAATAAACCCATTGCCGATTCCGACTCATATCGACCCTGCAGGACAGAGTAGAACTGCCCCATACGGTTTCCAAGGCTGTAATCTTTACAGAAACAGACTGCTACATCTTTCTCCTGCAGAGCAGCTGGTAGGTTCAAACCATCAACCTTTCAGTTAGCAAGTGAGTGCTTTAACCACTGCGCCAGTAGGGCTCCCCAAAGAACCTAATGGAATACTCTAAAACCAGGATTCTTCTATATTCAATGATTATAGAATGGCACTAGTATCTCCTGGTAAATGCTAAAGGCCCCACTATATGTCAATCACGTCACCTCTTAAGTGAGCACCATGGAAGACAACTCTCACTTACATGCTAGCATACTGCCATCTTTGTGACTTCCTAGGCACATCCATTCTTTAAACATTCATTCAACACACACTTATCTAGCACCTGCCAGGTGCACAGCTTTGTGCTGGGGAGACACAGAAACATGGTGTGGTCCTTGCTTTCACAAGATCAAGTTTACATTTACTCCCCTTTACTTGGGTCTGTCAGGCTTTCCTTCTAATTCCTATTCACTTGTTCCAAGCAGCTTCTCAGAATAAAGCAGGAAGCAGAATAAGAGTTTGCAGTCCCCTGCCCCTTTTTCTACTTGATTTCCAAAAAAAAGTCAGAGTAAGACCAACATCAAACTTATAAAGAAGACCCAAGCCCTACACCAGTCGAAGGAATGGTGCCATTCACCTATAACGTGGAAAAGGCAATCATGGACAGACTGAGAAGCTGGGCACCTCCTGTTCCTCATGACACATAGTATCCTTACATGACTTTGTAGCAATTTCCTGCACAAATGTAAGCACTACACTGCATTCTAATATAAATGTATGAATGCTTTCTGATTGATTCATGCTCTTACTTCTCACAGAAAAATAAAGTTGACTCCAGTCACCTCTCCATGTGAAAACACAGAACTGACTAACAGAACAGTGAATTATCTTGGACTTAGTAATTCTCTGACTCAGTGCAGTTAGGGACATCTAATGGCATTCAGTCTCAACGTAAAAAACAGTTTCTTGCATACATTCTAATCACACTGTATATACAGACGTGATGCAGAGAGTCAGCATGCGCAACAATGCTGAAAGGGCATCAAGCATGGTTAAGAGTATATTGGCAATGAAAGATTTCAATTTCTTTTTATTCTTGCCTCTTCAGTCTGTACATGTATCATTTTCAGGGTATCCACATACTATACAGAGATGAAAGATGCCAGCTTTTGCTATCAAAAATGCTGAAGTTTTTCTAATGTAGAGTAATTGAACAGAAAGACTATAATAATCAGCAATCTACAGGAGAACGAGCACAAAATATTTCTATATCTGATGTGTGCTAAATATTCTTCCTTCATTTTAGATAATGTTCCATTTTCAATACTGAACTTTCCTTTAATCCAGAAATCCCTCAGTTTACACAATCGAAGGACAATTTCCAGTGAGCTTTGCTAGGATATAAGAACCAAAAGACCACAGGTATCACTGAGTTATAGTCAGGAGGAGTCAATTAATCAGCATTATAATCATAAAATTGCTGCAGGGTAATAGGCTTCAAGTGTCCGTTTCAGGCATTATGAAAACAGAATGACCTGATTTCACCAGGTATCAACTAGTATTCGCAAAGCTACTTCAATTTTTTTGCTGACCTTCATTGTTGTTAAATAATGATAGTTTTGATGGTGGTAAAGCTTCGTTTCTCAAGTGCAGGATGATCTGAGCTGAGTGAGAAAAAGAATGATTAAGGGAGAGAAGGAAGGTGGGCCTGGCATCAATTTGAAAAACGTACTTTTTCTTCTGTTTTTATTTTCTCCTAGGTTGCCACAATAAAGTCACAAACATGCTAGCCATTTTAACTATCTCAGGATTAATCAAGACCAAGAAAGATGAAATGATAAACTGTGAATCAAACCACCCCTACTGCAAAGTTCTGACAGAGTAACAGGTCTGCCACCAGTAATCTCAGCAGCAGTATATTTAAACACAAATAGAATTATGTATATCCACTATTGTCATATAAATATTTTCTTTATTTTCTATGATTAAAATTTTTAATAATTTTATTTCTTGTAATTATTTCTTTAAAAGTGGTGTACTTTATTAAAAGAAACAATGGAAATGCGGATTCTGGCTGATACTGTTTTTCAGAAATATTCCTCATCTTCACTGACTGATATTCTGGAGAAATCAGATTTCTATACCAACTAATGGGATATTAGCCACTTATGATTCCAGTGCCAATCCCAAATAAAGGACATATATACATAGATCAGGACTGACTCTGCCCACTCAGTTAAAAGATTTCCACTGCAGTTAAAACTATTAGCTACAACAATTCTAACACTGTTCATTTTCTTGGGTCTCCCATTTTCTCACAGGATTTACTAGAGCCCAGAAGCTGTTTACATTAGTTGAATCTACAAAGAGTGGAAAGACTAGAGACAACACTCCACAGTATGTAAGACCTTTATCTCTTTTTTTAACACTCTTAACAAACTATAAAATTTAACCACTATATTTAGATCTTCATAACTTGCAGGTGTCTTGAGTGTCTCTTAATCTGCTCTCTCCTTTCAAATTTCTTTCCATTCTAAACAGAACATTTTGTCTCTTAGTAGTAATCCTGCAGAATTTAAAACAAAACAAATAAAAAAACCATAAACAGATTCTATGTTTCAAACATTTTGAATTAAAATGACCAAAAAAAAAAAAAAAATTAAAAACCTATACAGAACCATTTTTTTCCTATTTAAATCAAATTTAGGGAGTTTATAAAACTCCTTAGAGAGTATACACTCTCAAGATGTCCAGGTACGTAAGTTTCTGAAAAATATCCAATTTTATTATAAAGCTTCCTCCCCACACACATGATTATTGGACTATGTATTTTCACAATGATTTGCTTGAACAACACAAGGAGGCTGGCACACTTTAAAGTTAACAATACATCTTATCATTACAAAAACAAGTCAAGATTAATGATGCCCCTCCAGCATCTAGTTACTGACTGATTACTCTGTACACAGATTACCTAGGCTCCTGACTTATTACTCACTGTTGTTGGCTGATTCGACACTTTATTGTACAACATGCATCACCCAGAAAATGATCAAGGGAACGCAAAGGTATCGATTCAAGGCAGATAATTTTGTCACTTTTAGCACTTCTGGTTAAAGGGCTAGTTGGAGTTAAGGGAAGCTATTAATGAAAATAAAAATAGGGAATAAATTACCTGTGGATTTCATCTACTCACATTATCACTGGTCCCGCCTTACTGGAGGTTAACTGAAAACAGACTGGACCATGATTTGCAGCTATATATTGATCATTTTCAAACACTCCAATGACGTTCTCCAATAATTTTATTATCTCCAGTTTTATGGTGATATACTATGATTTTCACACTGTTCATATTTCCCATTTCCATAATCCAAATGCCAAAATATTACTATACATTCCCTTATATGGTAAAAAAATAGGTTTACTGGAATGTTTTTAGTTATACCTGAAGGCAGCAACATTGACAACATTTAGCTTTTGTTACACCCATAAACATGTAGAAACTGCTTGCCAAGCAATAGTAATGTGAGAAGAATGATCTCCTTGCAAACAGAATGGTTATGCATCTCCTTCAGCATAATGATCTGGTACTCTACACAGGCCCCCTGACCCCCCGCCTGACTCTCACCTTGAGGCAGTAATTCAAGTTCTTATGCCATTAAAATAAAAGTATGAAATATCATCAGTGTTTAACTATATACACAAATAATGAACTGGCAAGTATCTAGTTTCAAATTAGATCCTTGGAATATGGCAAAATAGAGGCTGGTTATTTTTGCCTTAAACATAATTATTAGAAGTACATTTTGTTAGAAGGGAAGAAGATAATTGGACATTCTCAATGCTCCAATTTGAAGTGATACTTGCCTCCTCTTAGTCTCTTGAAAAAGAAGTTTTGAAAGTTATATACATAGGTTTCATTTAAACGATGTAGCAATCTTTTATTGTTATTGTCCCAGATCTTATTTAATGAAGATCTCTGTCATCAAATCAAGCATGGTATTTCACAACTATAAGAACTGCAAGAAAAAAAATGAAAAAGGAACATATCAAAATCAGATGCATATGCTATATTAGAAGTAATATTCCTAAACGTAGCTGTGTTCACTTTTGGAAATAGCTAATGAGGACTAAATTTTTATCTGAGATATTAGATAACTTAAGTGGGAAAGGAGAAGCAAAAATTTCATAAAATCACCTAAATGTCCAACATTGGCATTTTGATCAAATAAATTATGGTATAAGCACAGCATGCAGCTGCTAAAATATTGTAAAAAATATTTAACAACATGGAAAAATATTCACAATATATTTATTAGAAAGTATGTATATTATCTTATTTTTCGAAAAACATGCTTATAATCATAAGAGACTAGAGTATACACAATAGTTATATTAACTGTATGTTATTCCACATTTTCCAAACTGTCCACCATAAATATATATTTCTTTGTAACAAAACTTTTTTCTGTTTAAAAAGAGAGTAGTGCCATAGAGTTCTCCCAATGGTTATTTTGAGACACTTTCAGGCTTTGGAGAAAAGAAGATATTAAAAATTATCTGACTTTAAAAAAAGAACATTAAGGAGAAAGGAGCAGTAGCTATGCTCTAATGGCTAAAGTCAAGCTCAAATCCAAAAACACCAAACAAATAAACCAAAAAAACTTCATCATCTAGAGAATTTATCTTGTCCTTCAAACACAATGTTATAAGATGCAATCTGCCATACCTGATAGTTAATAATAAATAGAAAATGGGGGTTGTGGTCCTGAGTGTAACAGTATCCATTTCTGGCCTTGGACAAGTCACTCAGTCCTTTTTTTTTTTTTGCGGGTGGGGGAAGGGGAGGCAGGGAGGTAGAGGGAAATTCTCATTGAGAATCTGAGATAAGATATAAATTTACTCCCCATAAAAATGTACATCTGCACATTCTCAATTTAGAGCATTCCCATGGATCCATAGGTTCCAGGCTGAGAGTCCTTGAGTCAGGTAAGATGTCATTACTCTGTCCTGACATCAGTCATACTAAGCCAACTGAAAATAAATTTAAAAGGGAATTAAAATGAACTCTAAAACAAATGATGTCCCCAATATTAATACTCCAGTAAATACTTACTGATAATCACTAGCAAAAGGATAACAGCAACCAAAGCCATAATGGCTTTTACCTATAACACACACACAAAAAAAAAGGCATAAGAAAGATGTTAATGTTCAACTTAACAAAGTCAAAACTTTCCGCTGTGCTATGTATCACGTTATACTAAATCATCAATAAACAGGCACATTCCTTGAAAGGTTTTCAAATTTTCTGTCACATCAACTTGCTGGCTGTTTCACATCCCCAAATTTGAGGGTTTTTCTTGGCTGGATTTTATTGTTCAAGGCTGTACTCTACAGTGAACAGTAACAATGAGTTTTCATGGGCCTGGACCCTTTCTCTCTCAAGCTTGTTTCTAATATGAGACTGGGAAAAGTAAATGATATTTTAATAACTCTGTTCAAGTGTCAGGATATTGTGAGTAACACAGGCATCCAATTGCCAAATGGTTCAAAATTACATGATTTAAGCCAGCATTTTTTATAGCACTTATTCTCAAAGTATATGAGGATTTTGATAGTTTTTTCCACCCTTAGTTCCCTCTTGGCATTTTTATCTGCATTTGAGAAATTTTGACTCTAGGTGAGTAACCTAATTTAATCAATATCTTGCCTAAGAGCATTCCATGTGTCAGTTTCAACTGCAAGGAGAAACCTTAAGATTAGTCCTTTTGGTCAGCTACTTAATTTTGTATGCCCATCTCATCTTTCTTTATAAAAATTGCCCCACTCATCATTTAATCCTAAAATGCAGAAATTATAAACTGATTTGATTTTCCTGAAGAATTTAAATTAAAGCCTTGTTTTTAATCGAACATTTTCACACATAACTGATTAAGGATGGTTCACTCAGAAAAAAAGATACCCAGTTATCATAAACAGATGAAATATTCTGATGATTATTACAAATAGCAACCAAGTACCTAATTAGCTGTTGCTAAAATAAATTACTGTGACATTTTAGTGGCATTACATTCATGACAATAACAAAATGACCCAGAGGGATATATGGAAGCCTGGCAATTTGCACACAAGCGCCTATAAAAATTATTAATTATGATAACCAAAAACTGTAGATACAGACTCAGGCCAGATGAAGATAGGAGTTATATTTTTAGTAGGTGTCTGGGTTCACATAATACTATAAACTAAAGTATTTTAATCTTTTTTTAATCTGAAAATATTTCTAAAGCAATCTGGAATTTTAGTTTTTCAACTTTGCCCAAAACATACATTAATTTGCCCTGTTAATGTGTGCTAGCCTTAACATTTAGAACATTTAAATGGAAATATCAATATCAGTTTTAGACACCTCAACGAGTAGAGTTTTCTTCCTTGGATTTCTAGCACTGCCAGGAAATGTTTATAGACAAAAATGGCAATATTGTACTCATATACACTCAAAGCTCTGCTTCCAAATGACATGGGCAAAAATCCGTTTATCTGAGCTTCCTAGATACTTAGAGAGGTGTTAGGGATCCTCCTTCTCTACTACACTCCAGTCACTAGTTTATTTACTTGTCAAGTTTATTAAGGTATACCAGGTATGCCATGCTTTTCGGAAGTTCACTTTTGGCCACTTCGTTTTTACGAAAGACCTACCTACATTAGCACCTGTTTTCGCTAGCGGAAAGAAATCTGAAGAGGATCTTCACTTTTATGAAAAAAGGTGAAAGGCGGAAATAGCATTCAGCCTTTGTTTTGCAGGGGAGTAGCGAGCAGTGAGCAGCGGGATGGTGTTGCCAAGCTCCTTCCCTGGGAACTACACTCAGCATCTCACCATCTAGCTGCCATAGTTTTGACTGTATCTGTCAGCAACTATGCTTTATCTTGGTTTATTTTGTGCATCCGTTAGCCAGATGTGTCCTAAGGCATCAGAAAAGCCTAAGAGAGCTTGTAAGGGTTTTATGTGCTATTTGGTATGATTCGGTAGGTTAATTTTTGGGTCCGGGAACAATCAAAAAATTTTCCCATATAAATTAATGGTAATTACTTCTTCACTTTATGCCATTTTGGCTTACAAAAGGTTTCCATAGGATGCTGTATTTTCGGATAGGGGAGGAACCTGTACTTTATATAGAGTAAAATTCATCCTTTTAAAGTACATTTCCATGGGTTTTGTCAAATACAGGCAGTTGTCAACCATCACAATCGAGATACAGAACATTTCCATTCCCTCACGAAGTTCCCTCATGCCGTTATATGCAAAGTTCACCCCAACCCTTAGTCACTGGCAACACTGATCTGTTTTCTGTCCTTTTCTTAAAACCTTTCCTAAATCATCATTCTGGAAGACAATCCAGAAAATGGCAGGCATGCAGAGGCAGACCCAGATGAGTGGTAGCACAGCGAGGTACTAATGGGGTGCAGGGAGATTGACGCAATACTTGCTACTCTAAGTGATCTGTGTTGAGTTATAGAAAAACGTTTTTCAATATACGGTCGATACTAGCAATTCCCAAAGGTCCTCAGGGTGATACAGAGACTGTTTAAGAATATAATTCAATTTTTCCCCCTTAAAAGTATACTATTCCTCTTACCTGAAGCCCATAAAGCATAAAATGAAAGTCTTTAGATAGGTTAAAGAAGACTAGGCACTCTCCCCAGATAGAGTTCCCGAAGCTAGAGTTCCTAAAGCTTGAATACTAGCTTGCCTGAGCTGCCTGCTCTTCGATGTAATAGCTTCCTTTCACACTCTCAATTGCCAGGGTATAAAGGGTTGCCCCCAGTCACACTGAAAGGTAAGACAGGTACTGAACTCTGTGTGTGCCCAAGTGGGTCATGTAAATAAAGGCTTGGAGCAGCTCTCTGCTCAGAGCGGGGAGAACAGTTTCAGCAAGATGCACACTACGGTCATTCTGTTGTGGCTATATGAATGGGTGTGTGTGTGACGGGGGAAAGAAACTGAATAGCTCATGGACCTTTTGTTCTTTCAAACTAGTGTATAGAATAGAAAATTTCAAGACTCAACATTCTAGACAAGGGTGGGAAATGCAGTTCTACTTCTGAAAGTAAGAGGATTCATCAAGTAGATAGAAAAAAATTAGTAAATTCAAGGCAACTCCTGGAAGAAATCCTCAGCATATAGCAAACTCAAGTTTAGAAAGTTGTTAAACTTAAAAATGAGACTAATAATAATGAGCTCATGTCTAAGATTTCAACAAAGTAAAAAATGACCCATAGAATCAGGAGAAAAAGAAAGGCTTTGCTCACATGACATGAAATTTACCATAAAATCATAAAAGAAGCACCTTCTGTTTAAAGATTAGCAGCCATACTTGAGGTATATTAGCTTCTATAAAATGTTTTGCAGGAATGTATTAGTATAGAGTGAGTCTACCCTTCTTTTCCCTTGTTAAAAATTTCCAAGAGTCTAATAAAACACTGTCTGGAATAATGACGGATAGGAGGGATTTTTTTCTTAACCCCATTTTCCATAACAAATTCTAATATATGAAGTTTTATTTTTTTTCCCCTTTCAACAGAAAATTATAATTTTCTCTAGCTTCCATTTTCTTTTTTTAGTATTGCTACGTTTAATGCTATAGGTGCCTCTAAAAAGTACTAATGATAAATTATAAGAATATAAATATAAAAATCTATACTTGTTATAAGATACTAGGTCTAGAGCCAGTTATTAATAAAATGTGGATCATCTTCTATGAAGGAATCTGTGAAAGCATCAGTTCAGGCACTGATAGATTCCTTTAGTTATTCCCATCCCAACAGTAATTTTTTGACAAATGTTTATTGAGTTCCTACCTGTCCCAGGTTCAGAAGACATAATAATAAGCAAGACAGCTGTAGTCCCTGTCCTCACAGAGTTTATAATCTAGAGGCCCTTTTTCCTTCGTGTCTTTGAAAACTACTTCAGATGCTATCCAGCATAACTAATATCTTCTGATTCACTTACTTTGCATCCACGCCACCACATTTGTCTTCGAAGTTGTTTGGATCTGTTGCTAAAAGCAGTTGCATTATCCGATAAACTTTCTATACCACACAGAGGATGGAGAGAAGGATTAAATGACATAACAGGATTCGTTTATCTAGTCATACAATGACAAGAAAATATTAATTTCTAATTCTACCAATTCATTCCTTTTTAAGCATGAAAAAAACATCCTCTGTTTCTTCCAACCACAAATTCTAGCATTCTATATTTTAAGAAATAACTGCTGTAGGTCAGTTTACTTAATCCACTTTGACTGTAAGATTAAGAGAAGTTTTCCAGGGCATCAATGCTTTTAAATAAACTTGTAAATTCTGGTAAGGAAATGTCCTTTAAAATTTTAAATACTTGGCATATCTAAAGAAAAATATTTACATGTGAAGAAGGTTAGATTCCTAGATGATATAAAAAGTAAACTGATTTTGAAGTAAAACAATATGTATTTTAAAAGTGGTAAAACAAGTTTTTTAGTTAAATAAGTCTCTCGAGGATTAATGATCTCTCAGCCATTCATCATTCAAAAAATATTTGAGCGCCTGATATATACCAGGAACTGTTATAGATACAAAGACTAATGCTTGTCCGTAAAGGACTATGAAGTTACCAAAGAAAACATAAAAATATCAAGTAACTTTGAAATAAGTGTTAGAAAAAAGTGCTTAGACCTCCAATCCTTGACATCAAAGGAACTACAAAGCACAAAACGTAACAGAGTAAAAGAAAAAAATCAGCTAGTGTCATTTATTCTAACTTTTCAATACTGAATTTTTAAATTCTCCCTTCTCAACTGAACAATTAAAGAAATAATACAATAATAGGATGATACAAAGACAAGGGAGCTAAAATTAAACCATTAAAATCATAAACTTAAGATTCAAATGTCAGTTTCCTAAGCCATCATTCCTAAACTTTGGCTAGACAAATGGGAGAATAAGCTACTAAAACACAGATTATAATATCAAGAAGTATATAAGGCATCTGTACCTGATTTGTCCTGTAGTTCATCTAGTCTCTCCCCTCTTTCAATTACCTTTGTAATATTTTCTTGCATGACATCAATAACTTCATCCACCTGATTCTGAACACTATTTGAAATAAAAAAAGTACTTATTCCTCTTTTGAGAATATTTACAATTTTTGAAACTTTTATTAGCTATGATAGAGAATAGCAAGTTCTCAGAGAATTATGCAACTACAAAATTTTTAAGTTTAAGGCTTTGTAGCAATGTTCTTCCATTTCTGAGCACAAGTACTCGGGCAATTAAAGACAATTTAATTTAACTTAAAGACAGTTTACTTCAGCCCTGCTTCTGACTAGTAATGTAACCCACAAGCAAATTAATATACTGTCAGAATGCCCCGTAACAGCAGAATTTAGTTAGACAGCTTGATTCTGATCAGTTTCATTTTCTTTTCAATAGGCTGTTGAGGCACCACACAGACACAGCTATGAATATTACATACATGTTGATGTTGCCGTGTGCCATCGAGTCAACTCCCACTCATAGCGACCCTATATGACAGAGTAGAACTGCCCCATAGGGTTTCCTAGGCTGTGATCTTCACAGGAGCAGACTGCCAGGTCTTTTCTCCCGTGGAGCAGCTGGTGTGTTAGAACTGCTGACCTTTCAGTTAGCAGCCAAGTGCTTAACCACTGCGTCACTACAGCTCCTTATATTGTATACACTAAGGATAATAATGGAAACCCTGGTGGCATAGAGGTTAACAGCGACAGCTGCTAGCCAAAGGTAGGCAGTTTGAATCCACTAGGTGCTCCTTGGAAACCCTAAGGAGTAGTTCTACTCTGTCCTATAGTCAGAATCAACTCGACAGCAATGTTTTTTTTTTTTAATTTTTTTTAAGGGTAATAAAGAGTTTGCCCAGATATGTTAGAAACATATGAAAACACTCAGTTTCCAAAATGGACACGAAAGGTGTGTTCCAGGAGAAACTGATGCCTACGTGAATTCAGCCTGGATCAGGGTAACTGGGCAGAGTAAAGGAGGTGGTGGATGGTGGGAAAGCTCTAGGCTAAAGAATACACATAAGAAGAAGGGATATTTCAAAAGCTAAGCAATTGACCGGATGTGGGTGGGGAAGTAGGGGAGAGAGAAGCCCTGGTGGTGCAGTGGCTAACCACTTGGCAGCTAACTGAAAAGTCAGCGATTTGAACACACCAGCCACTCGGCAGAAGAAAGATGTGGCAATCTGCTTCTGTAAAGATTAAGTGCTTGACAAACACTATCACCTTTAATTCTCACAACTGAGATGAGATTATTCTCTTCATTTTAAAGGTGAGAAAATATGAGGCTCAAAGAGGCTTGCAAAGTGACTTGCAAAGTCACACACACTGTAAAGTGGTAAAGCTGGATAGCAAACCCAGGTCTGTCTGCATACAGAAGTCGGGCTCTCTCCCTAGAAAATCTCTCAGCCTAGAAAATCCCAAGGCAGTTCTACTCTGTCATATAGGGTCACTATGGGTCTGAGTCAGAATCAACTCAATGGCAACGGGTTTAGTTTGTTTGTTTTGGTTTTAGAGTCTGATAGCACTGTGTTCCTGAAATCTCTCTATTCTAATATCAGCAGAGAAGCTGTGACGGCTGAAGAGAGAGAGCCCGACTTCTGTATGCAGACAGACCTGGGTTTGCTATCCAGCTTTACCACTTTACAGTGTGTGTGACTTTGCAAGTCACTTTGCAAGCCTCTTTGAGCCTCATATTTTCTCACCTTTAAAATGAAGAGAATAATCTCATCTCAGTTGTGAGAATTAAAGGTGATAGTGTTTTTCAAGCACTTAGCACAGTGTCTAACACTTAGCACATGCTTGATAAATGCCAGTACTCTTCCATTAAGAGAAAAAGTCACGCTCTGCAACACAACAACACTCATCCCTCATTTCATAAAGAAAATATTTATTTTCATACTTAACATCCCCATCTTGTGACCTTTTAAGGTACACGCATTGTAAAGAATGTAACCAGCGGGAACCTAAACTGCTGTGTAAACCTTCACTGAAAACACAATAAATACTATTAAAATAAATAAATAAATAGTGGCCAATCAAATTAAAATAAAGCAACAATGCTGCGTCTATACCATTATCTGCACATGCAGACAAGAAATATCTTGCACTGGAATGTTATAAATGATAGATAATAACATATCTTAACATAAAAAACTCACCACTGCTAGGAATTTGTGGTACTAAATTAACACCAGAGATTTGTCCTTCGGTAAATTGTGCTCCACCATCTTGAGCACAATGGTAAGTCATGCCTTGGTTAGGTGAGCATTCATGAATGTTATAGATCAAATTGTGTCCCCCCAAAACGTATGTCAACTTGGCTAGACCATGATTCCCAGTATTGTGTGGTAGTCCTCCATTTTGTGATCTGATATAATTACCTATGTGATGTAAATCCTAAACTCTAAGAAGTTAATGAGGCAGGATGAGGGGCAGTTGTGTTAATGAGGCAGGACACAATTTACAGGATTAGGTTGTATCTTGAGTCAATCCCTTTTAAGATATAAAAGAGAGAAGCAAGCAGAGACGGGAGGGACCTCTTAACCACCAAGAAAGAAGAGCCAGGAGTGGAGCAAGTCCTTTGGACCCAGGTCCCTGTGCTGAGAAACTCCTAGACCTAGGGGAAGACTGATGACAAGGACCTTCCCCCAGAGCTGACAGAAAGCCTTCCCCTGGAGCTGGTGCCCTGAATTTGGACTTCTAGCCTCCTAGACTGTGAGAGAATAACTAAGACAATGAGGTTGTCCCAAAAAATTTTAATTTGTGTATATTGATGACTTTCCTACTAAATGTGGTAGGCCTTCAGCTTTAGAGTAAGAATCATTATATTTACTATTCTAAAGTTCTGTAATCGCCAAAGTTATTTTGATAATTTAATATGTACATATTCATATTCGTGTGTATGTTTGTGTATGCCTGGCATACATACTTAGACATACATTCTACAATATCCACTGTGTACAACTGGCAGTGGTTTTGGGGCTCAGCTAGAAAATCATACTCAAAAGACCCAATAGGTCACGCCCAGTACCAGGCTCACTCTGCTGGATACCAGACAGGAAACAAAGGATAAAAACAGGTGTGTCATCAGTGGAGTCCCCTTCTCTAGTGGCAGCTGAGGCATAAGAGAACAAGACCACGTGGGTACAAGAGTCACTCTGGTTCAGTGTAAGGGAACAGTTCTGCCGTCCCATCCTGGTGTTTTCACATAGGCCAGGCAGGAGAAGGCCTGAACCACAGCTAATCTGAGTCTTGGCAGAATGTTTCATGATCCTCCCAGAACACGAGAGGATGAGTGGTTTATAAGGCCATCTCCCACTCACCTATCTCCCCTGGACTTCAGAAGACAGTGTTATCGCCTCCCAGGTTCTGATGAGGTATGAAGCTTCCTGCGAGGCATATCTGCTGCCTACAGGCCACTTAGCTGCAGTCTAGAATTGGCTCCTTAGCAATGGGGTATCCCACAACTTCCGTTGCAGTCATCCACCCCTTTTTGTTTGGGTATTGCCATTTTGGGTGTGAGGGACAAGGACCTGGGGAGTTGGCAACTTATATTCATTGTCTGTGTGTCTATGTAAGTAATAAACTGTCTGAATCTAAAAGTGGCTCATTGTATCTTTACCAGTCGAAGCAGTGAGGCCTTGCCTTGCCTTGTCCCATGTGCCTGACACTTAGACTTGTCATTCTCCAGAGAAACTACTTCTCCTGTCATAGCCCCGTAAGCAGTTTCCAGGGGTCCTGGCAACAAGGGGCATGCTCAATTATACGAGTTATACCACACTCAGGTAAAGCCCAAAGTTATGGCTTCTTACCAGGTGCTTGCAGTTCACTTATAGTCCAAATGCAATTTATCAAGTAGGGGTCACTCCCCAGAAGGAGGAAAGGCTCTAACTCATCACCCCAGAGACAAGAGCACCACTTTCCAAATCTAAGGATTTGCTTTCTATTTTCATTTATTTAGCATTATATTGTAACTATACATTTGTCACTTAGACTGTTCCAAGAAGTGCAGTTATCCACATATTGTATAAGTCAGTTACCCCTAGTTCTGACACTTGTTACTTGAGCCTCAATTCTTATTGTAAAATAGGGATGCTGATGGATTATAATATTGAAATTTTATTGTTTATTTTGATGCTAATACTTGCCCAGGTTTGGCCAGTGGGGGCTCATTCACATTGGTTTCTACATCTTTCTCACATGTGTCCAACATACTCTGAGCATTACTTTCTGATGTTCCAGGCTCATCTTGCACATTATCTGCCACAGTTCTGGGATCAACCAGTTCTCAGCTTTAGAGCAGCAGTGCAATGTCCCATAAATATCAGTGGAAGAACAATTTAAATCCTTATTAGTTAATTTGTATAATGAATGGGTAGAACTTCAACACTGCATAATACACTGTGAATTGTAAGATAGGTCTTGTGATTCCTGTCCCTGATATCCATGCCTTTGTGTAATTCTCTCCTCTTGAGTGTTGGTGAAAGCTCTGTCTTGCTTCTAACCAACAAAAGATGGCAAAGGTGACAGGCTATCACTCCTGTGATTATGCTGTTATATGACAAAGGTGAAGGGATTGTGCAAATGTAATTAAGGTCCCTAACCAGTTTAACAGGAGCCCTGGTAGGATACTGGTTAAGCACTCGACTGCTAACCAAAAGGGCAGCAGTTCGAACCCACCAGCTGCACTGCAGGAGAAAGATGTGGCAGTCTCCTCCTGTAAAGATTTACAGCCTTGGAAACCCTATGGGACAGTTCTACTCTGTCCTATAGGGTTGCCTTGAGATGCAATCAACTCGATGGCAGCGGGTTGGGTTGGAATCAGTTTAACTTTGAGTAACGAAAAGAAAGATTATTTTGGGTAGGTCTAACCTAATCTGGTAAGCCCTTTAAAAGAGGGCTTAGGCATTCCCTGAATACAAAGACACTCTCTCCTGTCAGCCTTGGAGAAGCAAGCACCACAAGTTCTACAACTACAAAGAAATGAATTCTGCCAACAACAACCAGCCTGATCCTGAGCCTCAGATGAGACCATGGCCCTGGCCAACATCCTGACTGCAGCCTTGTGAGACCCTGCACAGAGGGCCCAGTCAGGCCATGCTTGAACTCCTGATCCATGGAAACTGTGTAATAATAAATGTGTGTGGTTTTATTACTACAAGAAATGCAAAGGGATCTATGTAAATGGAAAAACATACCATGCTCATGGATAAATAGACTCCACATTGTGAAAATGACAATTCTACCCAAAGCAACTCACAAATACAATGCAAACCCCATCCAAATAGCAACAACATTCTTTAAAGAGATGGAAAAACTAATCATTAACTTTATATGGAAAGTAAGAAGCCCCGGATAAGTAAAGCACTACTGAAGAAGAAGAGTAAAGTAGGAGAACTGCACTACCTGACCTCAGAACCTACTATACAGCTATGGTAGTCAAAATAGCCTGGTACTGGTACAACAACAGATACATTGACCAATGGAACAGAACTGAGAACCCAGATGTAAATCCATTCACCTACGGTCACCTGATCTTTGACAAGGACCCAATGTCCATCAAATGGGGAACAGTCTTTTTAACAAACAGTGCTGGCAAAACTGGATGTCCATCAGCAAAAAAATGAAACAGGACCCATACCTCACACCATATACAAAAACTAATTCAAAATGGATCAAAGACCTAAATATAAAGCCAAAAACTATGAAGTTCATAGAAAAAAAATAGGATCAATGCTACAGGCTGTAATACATGGCATTAACAGGATACAAACCATAACTGACAACACACAAACTCCAGAAGATAAACTAGATAACTGGGATCATCTAAAAATGAAACACTTACACTCATCAAAAGACTTCACCAAAAGACTAATAAGAGAACTACAGATTGGGAAAAAATTTTTGGAGAGTACAAGTCAGACAAAGGTATAATCTCTAAAATCTATAAGAAAATCCAACACCTCTACAACAAAAAGACAAATAACCCAATTAAAAAATGAGCAAAGGAAATGAACAGACACTTCACCAAAGAAGACATACAAGTGGCCAACAGACACATGAGGAAATGCTCATGATCACTAGCCATTAAAGAAATGCAAATTAAAACCACAATGAGATACCATCTCACCCCGGTACTACTGGCACAAATCAAAAAAAATAGAAATAACAGATGTTGGAGAGTCTGCGAGGTGATTGGAACTCTTATGCACTGCTGGTGGGAATGCAAAATGATACAATCATTTTGGAAAATAATATGGCGCTTCCTTTGAAAGCTAGAAATAGAAATACCATACAATCCAGCAATCCCACTCCTAGGAATATATCCTAGAGAAATAAGAGCCGTCACACAAATAGACATATGCACACTCATGTTAATAGCAGCATTGTTCACAATAGCAAAAAGATGGAAACGACTGATGCCCGTCAACAGATGAATGGATAAACAAACTATGGTACATACACACAATGGAGTATTATGCAACGATAAAGAACAATGATGAATCTGTGAAGCATCTCATAACATGGATGAAACTGGAGGACATTATGCTGAGTGAAATAAGTCAATCACAAAAGGA